GTCCAGGAGCTCTCCCGGATAATTGGCTTTGAAGGTCGTGACCAGATCTTGCACGACCTCCGAGCTGAGCTTAGGCGGCAAATGCTCCATCCATGAGGATGGTGAGGCCGCTGAGCAGGCAGACCTTGAGGCTGTGCATAGTAAAGGCGGAGGCTTCTTCTGGTGTGAGCAGCTCCGTGGAGTTGCCCTCCAGGTGTTTTCGGCACATGAAGAAACGCAGGCACCCTAGCACTTGGCTGTACGACATAGGCTGGTGGTAGGCTGCCGCTGGCTTGCCCGGGAAACCCCGCAGGTTGTGCAGGGTAGGCAGTATGAAGTCGGTGCAATTGTGCGTGCCGTAGATCTCCTCCGTACGCTCCCATATCGTCTGGACGGCTCTGAGGAAGGGCAGAACCCTCTCGGCCGGAGATTCCATGGAGACGCACGGCGAAGGGCTGACCCCGCTTGGTTGTTTTTGTGCCAGCAAACCGCTCTGAGGCTGTGTGCTGTGAGGGATAGACTCTTAAGGCTAATGCGCTGAAGGTCCCCAAACCTCAAACCACCGTGCAAGGCAAGCAGGAATCCCCCTAGCAGAAGGCAAAGTTCTATTGGGCACTCGGGCTGGCATATACGGCGCTCCCAGGCTGTGACCACGGCAAGAGGCAGTGGCAGGGCTTCTCTCCTGTCTGTGTCGGCTTGGGCCGTGAAGGATCTAATGAGGCGGTCCGACAGCACCGCTGCAAGCTGTGCGAGGCCATCGGCTTGGGGCCGGTTCTGCACACTTCTCGATCTTCTTCAAGGCTGGAATGGCATGCCCAGAGCAGATCCCCGAGACTAGCCACGGAGACTGTGCTGATTTCAAGACTGTTGAGGATGAGGTACTCCAGGAATTGCCTGCAGGCTGACAAATATGTTTCCAGCGTGCCGGCAGTAAAAGGCGTAATGCTTTGTGCAAGGAGCTGCGGGGAATACTTGGCTTCCTGAAGGCTACGGAACAAATCTGACGAGTCCCCGAGCAGCCAAAGAAGCTCCTTCCACTGCTCCAAAGCTTTGGCTTTCCTGGAGGCCTCCTGGCCTCTCCTGGTAACCTGAGTAGGCCTGCCACCAGGGCGCAATGGCTGCACCATTTCAGGCAAGCGTGTGTGTCTGGCCGAGGTCGGTGCTGAGGCCGGTCGCGAGGGCAGGTCTTGAACGTGGAATCTGGGACCGAGCGGCCGTTCCGGTGCTGGCTGTGGCTGCGGCGGCGGGACGTACCGAAGGCTTCTCGGGGCTGGCCGCAGGAAAGGCTGGCAGACTGGATGGCTGAGTCCCAAAAGGCTGGCACGCCAGCTGGCTGGCGGTTGATGGAGACCGCCTTTGCTGAGGGCCGGCGGGAACCGTGGTCGGCTGTGCATCGTCGCCGGCACGGGCACCTGCAGCGAGCGGGGTTTGATAAGGCTGTGGACTGAAAAAGGCGGGGCCGGGCGTACTGACGGCGGCAAGGCTGGAGGAAGCAAGCCCGGCCGAGCTTTGTGCACCGACTGCAGGGGCAGGAGGACGTGCCTGTCTGGCCCTGCCGGGATAGGGTTCACTGTTGAAGCAGAAGAGTCTTGTCGAAAGCGTCGGACAACTATGGCTTGTTCTCGTCTCGGCGACACAAGGCTCTCTCGGCTGGGGCTCCTGCTGCGATCTGGTTGGGAGGCAGTAGGTTGATCGTCGTCCGGGTGAAGCAACCCCGAGAGAGCCCACAGTGGAGCAGGTAGGGATCTTCCTGTTCGCTGAGCATGGCTGTGAAGGCTGTTGACCGGACTCCATGATTCTAGGTTACTAAGGTCGTCCGGGTCTGTGTCTATCCATGATCGGCTAAGGCATGCAGACGATGACAGACACAATGCAAGGCAAGCAGAAACTGAGCACGCCGCCGAAGGCAAGGTTGGTCCTGCAAGTGAGGGCATGAAGAGGCACAGTACGTTCAGCGTGCGTGGGAAGGCAGGGCACAGAGGGCAAGCACTCTTTTTGAAGCCGATGTCGGCTGGCTGCGACGCCGAACCACCGTTTGCCTGAGCCTAAATCAAAGGTGAAGGCTGGCTTGATGTAGCATTCTTGATGAAGGCGGGCATAAGGCTATCATAAGGCTGCTAAGGCAAACGGCTACCCCGAGGATGCCTGCGGGGGTACGGCTGAAAACCATTCATAAGGGCTTCGGCCAAGGTCTGTAAATTCTTTACAGCGCGAACATTGATGGCCGGTATGCTTGTCCTTATGCTCGACGGTCCCTTCTTGAATTTCTCGATGCAGGGACGAACCGTCCGGCTGACGCAAAGCACCGAGGCAGGCACGAAACATCAGCTCCAGAATCAATGATCACGGTCTGAGACGGATCATGCGAAGCACTCTGCACTGCTCGAACACACAACGATGCATGAGGTGCTGTGGTCAGCACGCGCGGGGGCTCTCTGGGAGCCATGTGCCAATCGTCATCATTGTCTGACGAATCCAGACGGTACTCAGGGCACTGAAGCATGAACACATTGGCATGATCTCCAGGCAAGGCTAAGTCACTCATATCCATCACAAGCGGCTCTGCATAAACTCGGCGCACAGCTGTGGACATGGTAGAAGCTTGACTCGCAGCACTGCTAAAACTCGGAACAGCAGTGGCATTGCTCGGCTGCGGAGGTTGCTGCCACCCAGACGAAGAAGACTGCTGCCATGCTTGTGGTGCATATGGTTGCTGCTGCGGCTGCTGTTGCTGTCCACCTTGATCCTGAACTTGCTGCACGCGCTTGTCATGCCACTGGTTGCCATAGCCTTTGCCAGAGTAATTGTAGTCATAGCCATACGGTTGCTTGCCTTTGTTCTGCTTCCCTTTGTCGCCTTTTCCACCTTTGTTCTGCTTGCCTTTGTTGTTCCATCGATCCTTGCCGTACCAGTTGTCGTGCTTGTAGTCCTGGCCGTACGGTTGCTTGCCCTTGTTCTGCTTTCCTTTGTCGCCTTTTCCACCTTTGTTGTGCTTTCCTTTGTCACCCTTGCCTTTGTTGTGCTTGCCCTTGTCACCCTTGCCTTTGATTCTGTCCACTTCCATCGGCTGTGGATCATCTCGCGAAGCCTTAGAACCGGCAAGGTCTGCAGAAAAGAGAGACGCTGGAGTCCATTTGGTATTCACCCTTTCATAGCGCAGAGCTGCTTCGCGCACATCAGTGTAAGTCGAATGTTCAGTCAATGTTCAGTCAACACAGTAGCGAGGTGGCTCTTCATCTGCCCACTGATAGCTTTGAGCAGAATGGAAGTTTTGAAATCATCATCCAGTGTTTTGCTGGCAGATCGTTCATACTCATCTATCATTTTCTCCAGTTCCAGAAGTTGAGCCAACAGTGGCTCATTCATCTTGAAACCATGTATCTGCGTAAGAGCTGTAAGGATGCCAAGTGAGCGCGTCCGGCTCGTCGGCTGAAACAACTGAATAAGCTGTCGTAAGCTCTCATAGCCGTTCTGCCCCGGTACACGCTGAATCACTTGCAATCCTCTGCCTTTGATCAATCCAGCTAAAACTGCATAAAGCTTGTGAGATCTCTGCACTGCATCAGGGCTTGCAATGTAGTCTATAGGCACAGTGGAATGCGTCTCAATCATGACGAAATCACGGGAGTACTCAGAATCCAACACAGTCATGTATTGTTTGAACTGCCACAGCCATGTCATCCAGCCTGAGTGCTCCTCCTCACGAGACTTCGGATTGAAGAAATCAGGCCTTGGAAGAATCTTCGTGAGGTCACCTGAACTCAGAGCACTCCGAGAGCTGGTGCTCATATGAACGGCCTGGGCCGCTGCACGAGCCGCATCAGTAGCAGCCCTCGTTGCTTCTCCCACTTGTTCAAGCATCAAACGCACATGGTCTGCAGACAGATTGAGGGTTCCACCAGCTCTAGCAGTAGGGCTCAAAGGATCAAAGGGGTTCGTTGGTCCAATCGGTGGCTGAGGCTGCAACTCGTCCTCATCATCCAAGTCATCATTCACCGGCACTGCTGCTGCATCACTTGAAGTCGCCATTGTTCAAGGTATTATTGGGCTCAATCCAAATCAATAGGGTCCACAGAAAACTTTGAAGATGTAAAACTGGTGCTGAAAACCCTGTGGGGCTCGCCTTCCAGATCAATCACTGTAGCTGGCGGTTCTCGCAAAACGCCAAATGTCTGTGACTGTTCAAACAACTCCAGGTCCTTGTGAAAATTCGGATGTTCCTCGCTCGCAAACACGACACTCTCCACCAGGCTGTTCGAACACGCAAATTCAGAAGTATCAGCTGCACAAAACCCAATGTACACTTCTCGCAAATGCTTGTCCTTGAGCGCTCTGAGCGCGAAGCAGTGGATATCAGATATCGTATGGAGATGCTTGAGCTTCTCCTCCAGCTGATCCTGAAAACCTTTCAAGATGCGCGTCCAACCTTCGGGAGTCCTTCCTTGCGGCCGTTCTCTCTGAAAGAGCTGCTCCAGATAAAGTTCTCTGAGCCGCTGACGCAGGGCGTCGGCCGAGGCTTCTGTTGCTGCCGTGTTTGCTGCACAATCTAGAAGTAAGCTGGTCCACTCAGGCACACGGAACCAGCTCCGCTACCATGAACGAATGCACGGTCTTTTCCAAACACTCTAGAGCCTGAAAGTCACGGCGCGGTCCATATAATCACATGTGTTCTCATGCCACACATGATCAGGAAAACACTACAAAATCGCCAAGGAAAATGGGGTATGCTCATATGTGTCAAAAGTCAACAGAACAAGATGCTGAGAGGTTGTGCATGGCGTCTCGCAGAAGGAGCTACTGCTAAGTGAGGCTATGGCTCGCCCGGGTCCTGTAACGTCCACCGGCTGAGGGGCAGGTAACCTGGCCGAGGGCACGGAGAGCGGAAAGTGCTTGTGAAGGAAAGAACCCGGCCTGAAGAGGGCTGGACCTGAGCAGGGATAGCATGACGAAATCTTCATGGAAAGGCCGACGCACGTGCTGCAGGGGTTTTTTGGCCGGCGTGCAAGGCTGTATGCGAGAGGCTATGCTTCTGGATCTCCTTCGGAGTCCAACAAGGCTGAAGGTCCTTGGTACTGGCAGGCGTCGACGGCTGCCTCTGTAAAGTAGACGGCTATCGTGGGGAAGGCTTGCTGAAGTGTCAAGAGCAGCCCGGCTACCCTGGCGTAAGTCTGGTCCAAGCGGATCCTAACGGCGTCTATCTTGGCACTGATAAAGACCCAGGGCGAAAGAAGGCACCGAAGGCGCGGCTGCTCATGAGCTCGACGGCTATGGTGCCACAAGGCTTGCTGCGCGCCACGGCGGTCGGCTTCCAAAATACCGATGCGAGATTCTAAAGATCTTAGGCGATCGGCAAGGGACTGCACTGTCGGCTCGTCAGTGGGCTCCTGGCTGAAGTCCTGGGTAGAAGGCTGTGGCTGCAGAGCATCGTAGGCAGAGCTGGTATCAGGGTCCAAGGCTAGGGGACCCGAAAGGCCAGCATTCATACGTCCCATGGCTGAGAGGTTGGTCACATTGGCAGTCGGCTGGCCCTGATTCCATTGGAGGGCAGGGCTATTGGCAAAAGAAGGCCAGGGGGAGCGCTGTGTGCGCTGATCCTCGCGGCGGGGCTGCTGGTTTCCCCTCATGCTGTCTCAGCCAAAGAAGCTAGCAAGGCAAGGTGCAGCTGGCCGGACACGAAGCAGTTGCATCATAAGGCAGGGCCCGGACTCTGGGAATGACACCGGTCATGTAGATCCCGAAAAATCTGCGGAGTCGGGCTGGCAGTCGCACGAGGACGAACTGAAGGCAGGTGATGCAGAGGGCGGGGCCGAGTGCCGACGACCTGAAGGCAGAAAGGGCTGCTTAATTTGAAAGCATGAAGGACAGCGAAGACCTGCTCGGACCAGCATCTTGTGTCGCTCTAAGCGACAGTGGTCCCCTGTGCTCGCGGCATGCCTTTTCCATGTAGCCGCACTTGAGCCAACATCCGTTGGCGATCGCGTTTGTCTCCTGTGATCACAGAGGTTGTTTCGGAAAGCCTAAAGCACAAAACACACCGGTCACAATCTAAGTTCCGAAACAACCATAAAATACACTGGCTCGTGCTTCTGCTGTCTTTCGAGCGCTTTGCGCTGCAATGCCACGCCTTCTTCAACAACCGACCAGTAGCCACAACCCATGACGTAACGCAAGTAATCACCGGGGTGGCACTTCGTCAGAGGATCAGCCAGCATAGCACGAGTATCTATCCAGCGTATGGAGCCTGAGGTCTCCTGCAAATCTGCCTTAATCACTCACAAGTCTATGGTACGCTTGTCGGATATGTAAGCAGAGGTGCTTGTCAGCTTTCCAAGAGCATCATACAGACTCTTAGAATCAACAGCAGCAAAGAACGGCAACCTAGCAGCGTGAGCTCTCCAATCGCTTGGGGACAACATGCGGTGGAAAGCCTCCATGAAAAGAAGACGGTGCCAATGCACCGACCCTATCCCTGCTTGGAGAGCTTGGCCCTCCGCTGCAAGGGTGTCTACAACCTTGCGCTTCGAGCGAAAGCTGCGCCAAGCGGCGATCGTAGTTCTCTCCGGCTTTCCGGAGCTTGCTAGGGCCGCGTCGTGATAGATCACGATCTGACCTCCTTGACTGCTCAAGTTCTGCAGTTGACACAGGCTGCTGTGAATCTTGCTTGCAGGCACTCCTTTGCCAGGGGTGGACTTTTGAAACACTGTACATCCAGTCCACGGTGTCTCTCGGAGTCCCCTGATTCCCTTTTGGTCGTACCACACGTCCTCGGTCACCTCGTGCTTGTGGTCGTCAGCACGCCAGGCCTTCGTAGTTCGCTGACCGTGGATGTCGTGCAGGTCGGGTCCGCCTTGGCATGCTCCAGGATGGAAAGTCGTCCTTCTTGGGTGGACGTGGTAGCGAATCCATTCCTTGTCGGTCTCCTTCCAGTAATCATCTGGATGGTCCTCAAGCCAAGGTGTTTCCTTGGCGTTTCCCCAGGCGGCGTCTGTCACCGTAGACATCCGTAGGTCCTTCCAGGGGATGGGCATCACCTTGATGCCCAAGGCTGCGTGCTTCACGGTCTCGTCGGCGATCTTGTTCCCCTCCAGTAGGTCCATCACGCGTGGTGATGGAAAGGACTGCTGCAGCAGGGACACGCGTCCTGCCAGGTCGCACCTTGTCTCCTTGGAGAGCCATGACAAAATGCCCAGTTGACTCCGCAGCTGGTCAATCTCGTTCTCGGTGCACCTGGAGTATCTCTGTTGCTTCCGGGCTTTCGAGACGACATTCTTGAAGACCTTGTCCTTCACGTAGAACTCCTGGTCAATCAGGATGGAGCCGTCCTCCTGTAAGCTGATGTCCTTGCCACAGAACCGGCCACTCTTTGTCTGGTTCTTTCCAAAAAGGTACTCCTTGGCAATCTGTTCGATGTTGCTCCAGTGGCGGGACGTTCCGCCGTGTAGCAAGTCATCAGTTGCCACCCCCACAACCACCACGGGCTATTCGATGCTTGCATCCCAATCACTAGTTCGTTCCTGTTCGCTTGTTAGATCCTGTGTCGAAAACTTGTTGTTAGAGTGAGTGATTTTGTCCATCGTTCCGTACCGCAGAGACAACAAACCGACCATATTTCTGCGCGATCGAGAACCATCAAGAACGTAAATGTACAGTCCATGTACAGGGCATTACTACATTACTGTTTCACCCCTACTATATACCGAGTATCACGCGACGAGGATCGCGGTGTGATACTTCGACGGGAGAAAAAACAAAAAGACCTTAAATCCTTAAGACACCACAAATACATAACTCTTACAAATATATCAGGCTAACTATACATATATTTATATATATATATATATATATACATACACAGCTTTTATACATAACAATATATTTCTGTCAAATAGTTGGACCACGGATCGGTCCGAGTTGGAACGAGCCCTTGCTGGGCATTTCTGGATCGAGGCGATTGTCGGTGCTGTTCATCAGATCACATGCATGTGTGCTTGCATGCATGCTGCAGTTCGACCATTGATCGATGGAAACGAATGCCACAGGGTTTTTGATCGAGCACCGGCCTGTAGCATGTTAAATCGAAACATGTGCAGCATGTGATCCTGCATGCATGCAGCAGTGTATATTGCACTGTACGTACGGTGGAAATCATTGCATCCAGACCTGCACTGTAGCTAGCCATGCCCTCCTACGTTGCTGAGCAAAGTCGCAAGCAGAAGGTTGAGAGACTGGCTGAGTTGATCTGGGAGAAGGTATGCCAGCCTCGTTTATGTGAAATCCGGGAAACAGGGGTACTGACACCCACTAACAGCCTTCGACATCGTGCCACGAGGGAGCTCCTGAGTTGGGCTAGCCAGCTAGATGGGAGGTGGTTTACCACTGGCATGGTCAAAGATGCATTGGTCAAGATTGTGGATAGCCATGCTCTCGAGGTCCCCGAGACTACCCCCGGCTTTAGTTGGGAAAGCTGGTACACCACCACCTCGGATAGCTTGGCGAGTTTGTTGTCGAAGGCCCGAAGGAGTACTGTTGGATCTGCTAAATCAGACGACGAAGCCATGGACGATGGTGAGACACAGCCTTGGGAGCTAGATCCAATGGAGGACTGTACCATACTGTACCAGCAATCACTTCTATCCAGTTTCGTATTCGCGAGAAATTGTCCTGAATGTTGATAGACTAGCCCCGGGCAGGACGCGCAGGTGCCACTGATCAACAAAAGATCTTCCAGTGACATGGGTGTGTCTTGCCTCCGACTATAGCTACCAAATATCTACTTGGTAGTGAATACATCCAACCAAACAATTTCAATAAGGCTGCCGATCTCCAGCCATCGAAACGCCTGCGCTTACGTGCCAAGACGCAACCGGGACCGAGCATTATGTGCCCCTAGACCGCTAAATTCAAGGTTTGTTTCAATGTGACTTTGTGTGCGTGATCCGAGGCCGAGCCACCTTTGCATTCCTGATACCGACGTCGAGGTTGCTCAATTCAATAGATAAACCCTAAGGCTAGGTATTCAGACTTGTTGCGAGTTCGATCCGGCTGTATATACTTTGTGCAACTGAGGGGGAAAATCCGGAAGAGGAATGGGGTGATGAAGATGAACATGCTTTTGGCGATGGCGTCGCTGCTCCTGTTCCCAAGGTTTCTTTGAATAGCACGGTATATATTACTCGCAGTTTGAGTGCGCTTCGCGTGCAGTGTGCAATGCTTGACCCGGTCAGTTATCCAAGGATGGGGAGAGTGATATGCCAAAGGTGACATAGTTTGCACTATTCCGGATGCATACAGACATGTATGTAGAGTTGCTCTATATGTTGACCCGGTCCTCCTGCAAATCCGAGGCGAGTGACGATTGGTCGTGGAAGGACGCGTCGCAGGTTCGTGAGATTTATGATGGCCCTGAGGACCGTTTGCAATTATCAATCCCGAGTAGAATATTTAACCTGGGCCCAATAGGACCCTCATAAATCCTCAACCCCTGAACCCTAAACCTTAAACTTAAACCCTAAAGCTGGTTGGGGTAGGTGGGGATAGGCTATGATAGTATACAGAGGATGCGATTTCCAAATGCGGGTCATGCCACTGGTTCGACGGAGAGGAGTGGCACGTGGGTGATGAGCCCCCGGTGGAGATGTGGTTTGTTCCCGTGGGTGAGAGCGCTGGGGCCGATGGTGGTGATGAAGCCGCCGATGAAGATCCTGCCGATGGCAATGAAGGCCCCGATCACACGGAGCCGTGGGAAACCGGCGCCAGTCATGATCATGAGGACTGGGCTGGCGAGGAGGAGTGGGCTCCCGATGAGGAGCCATGGGTTCCCAATGGTGATGAAGACGTTAATCAAGCCGAGCACTTGGGTGAGAGTTGGGCTGCTGACGATGAGCAGCAGTTGACTGCCCAGGACGAGCCATGGCCTGCCGATGATCCCAGTCACCAGGCGGAGCCGTGGAAAGCTTCCGATGATGACGGCCCCGATGAGGAGCAGTGGAAAGCTGCCGATGATGAAGGCTCCTATGAGGAGCAGTGGGAAGCTGCCGATGATGAAGGCCTCGATCACGATGAGGAGCAGTGGGAAGCTGCCGATGATCACGGCCTCAGCTGCCGATGATGAAGGCCCGGATGAGGAGCAGTGGAAAGCTGCCGATGATGAAGGCCCCAATCACGAGGAGCAGTGGAAAGCTGCCGATGAGCAAGGCCCCAATCCCGAGGGCGAGCAGTGGACAGCTGCCGATGATGAAGACCCCAATCACGATGGCACAAGCATGGCTGATGAGGAGTGGGAGGCGGCTGTCGGCGCAGAGACCGACATTTACCCCACGTGGCCAAGGGCCCCGATCACAAACGTGACCCAGGAGTATCCTACGAAGGCCGACCGAGAGCGTCTCGATGTTTGGTGGTCCAAGTACAAGACAAACCCAGCCCAGGAGTCCATATAGTTGACTAGTTGTGTATGTTTCGTGGTTCGGATTGATTGAATTAATTTGGGTTCTTATATATCCCGCACACATGCAGGAGCCTTCCACTGCCGGGAACAAGAAGGTTTCGAACCCCACAGAGCCCGTGAATCACGCTGAGCCGATGCCCACAAGCCTCGAGGACGGTCGTTTGAAGATATCGTGGTCGAACATGGAACACAAGACCAGTCAGATGTACCACTAAGTTGAATAGGTACCGGAGGTTGAAACAAATGAATATGTGTATATATATAGGTATATGTATGAAAACGAACCTATACTACACAACTTGGTAGACTAACTTTTCAATCAAAGATCGAAGTACACAGATAAGCCTGCTATGTATGTATGTTTGTATATATATACACACATGTATACATGAGTAAATCTTCAAAGTAGATAGATAATGAGATAGATCATAGAAATAAAATCATAAGCTATAACGTCTAACGCATTTCATCGATTTTCACGCTCAATTATTATTTTGACCAATATACGAATATCAATCTGCACACGTGGTGGCATATATAGAGATCAGATTTCAAACGCAGTTGGCTTATATTGGAATAATATGGCGGGTTATAGATGGAATCAATTTAGAACAGAACCATACGGTTTAATCTGATTTGAGTAGACCAGGTTGAGCTGACTACTAGTATAAAACTAAAATGTAACCTAATGGTAAACCAGACCATAGATATTGAAACGAATTAGTGCGCATCCACGGTGGCCAGCCGAGTTTGGTTGGACTGTAGTGGGTCTGTAGTTCAGAAATCCCAAACCCTAAAATGGAAACCCTACAAGCCTACAAGGCCCTATAAACCACAACAAAGTTGCGACTGCTATCATCAGAAACCTTAAACCGCTAAGCCTTAATTTTAATCCGAATCGTGTTACCATAAACAGAACCCACGATCGCAGGACATGGCACTCTGGCTCGACGCAGCCACCGATGAGGAGAAGCTTGCTATGTGTAATCGGCTTATCGCTTCCCGGTCAAATAAGATATTCGACAACTTATGCTGGAAGCGTGTGGCTTGACGATTTTGCTCATAAGGTTGCAAGGCTTCCGACGAAGGAGCTCCCTGGATCCAGCCCTGATACGTCAATGCCTGCGTGCATCTGCTGCATCAATCCCGAGAATTAATTTAGTAGATGTCGACCCCTATAGAAACCCCGCCCAGGTGCCCGAAGATCCCGGCCAAGACTGCCAATGATGAGGCAGGCGGAGAGGAGAGGAGTGCATACGGTCCAATTGTGTGTTTGTGCGCGATTCGAGAACGCATGAGCATCGGTCTTGAGATTTACATCCTGGGTTTAAGTTAGAATACTTTGTTTAATCATATAGGGGCCCAAGGAATAATATCACCCACAACATTAACCAACGAAGTATTCTAGGGTCAAGGACCGATCCGAGTCACGCTAACTCCTATCTCACTGCCCAGCCACATTCTCGCAAGCTTTCAGGCCGTGCATCATGGCAAACCAGCTGATCGCACCCGCGACCTCAAAGGTCCTGCTGCCGCTTTGGCTTCATTTGGAGTGTTGCGCACTTCGGGGGGTCGGAATTCGAAATGACAATGGGGTGGATCTGCTTCCAATGTAGCTCAGGCATTCGAGATCCCTGGAATGACGGGGATGTCAGGTGTACCCGCCAGTGTTGTCCAGACGGCACTTAGTGGGAAACACAATGCGGTTGTTCCCCATCGCCAACGACTGCTTGTTGCAGCCGGGAAGGCTCCCGATGCCCCGAAACCAGAAGCCTCTGAAACAATGGAAGCCGAGAAGAAGGAGAAGAAGAATGGGAAAGCAAAGGCGAAACCAAAAGCGAAGGCCGAGGCGAGTGCAAAAAACAAGGCCGCCAAAAGCAAAGGGACGAGACCACCGTATGCAGACACGGAATACAACATCGAGAGAAAGAAGTACTTTGCTACGTTCCTGATCTGAATATAGTAGCCGAAGCTTCAGCATCTATCTCCGAAATCGTAACCCGGAGCACGCCCCAGGCTGGACAAGGGCATGCGTTTCGCGGAGCGACAGCACAGGCAGCTTCAATACTGCCTGCATGTTCACAACGGATTTCTGTGTTTGTGATCTAGCCTTTAATAATATAGTCTAATGGGCTTCGGTGTATGTGAATTTGGGATGTATCG